CGCCGGCGTAGCAAACGCAGATCGCGACCGAGAGGGGGGGCGAGGAGCGAGGAGGAGGGGATAAGCTAGTGGCAGAGGGGAGGAGCGAGGAGTTGAGGAAGGAGCGGGGGAGAAGTGGGAGAGGAGCGGGGAGCAGGATTGGAGGGAGGGAGGGAGGAGGGGAGGACCGGCGCAAGAGCATGAGAGGAGGGGGGAGGAGAGGGGTGACCCAGGTGATCCACGCGGCCCAATGGAGCCAGCTGCCTAAGCAGCCGCTGCAGGCGAACAGCGATATGAGGAGCACGGCCGCGAGCACCATGGGCTCCCGCTCCTGCAGCCACGCCCTCTTTGCCTCCGGGGCGCCGAAGAGGACAACGAGATCCGGGGAGCGCTCTGATCCCAACGGTGGGGAAGGGCGTCAATCGAGGGACGCCCGCCATCTGCCTGCACCGATCCTGGTCGAGCCCATCTTGGGCCCAGGATTGGTTCATGGGCAGATTTTGGGCCCAGGACGCATGCATACACCCCTTGCCTGCCAAGCCACGGGGTCGCATTCACCAATCCTGGGGCTAAGATCAGTCTGGCTAAGATCGGTGCAATTGGATCGGTGGCCGAGTCCGGAAACCGTGAATCAAAACATGTTGATCTCGCTATACCTCCACTTCCGCCAGCTTCCGCTGGCCTTCCGTCGAAGGCGAGACGCGCAGAAGGCCAAGCACTTTCTGGAACGCCCTTTGTGACGCCCTCCTGATCCGGGGTCTCGAGCCCAAACACAGACCGTCGAGGCGCAGTCGGTCCTGCTTTTGCTGACCGGCCGGCTCCTGCCACGCGGCCAGCAGCGCGCCGTGCTCGACGAGACGGCCCAGAGACGCCCCGCCGTCCTGACTGTTGACTGTCTGCAGAACCTTGGCCAGCCGGTCGTCGTCGTCGTCGTCGTTGCACGCCTCCGCTGACAAAGAACACACGTGTGTTTTGCTGATGAGGTGTATTTGGAAATTGTTGTTTAGTTGTATGTTCCGCTTGTTTTTGATTTTGTGTGTGTCGTGTGTTACGTTTTCGCCTCCTCCTCCTCCTCCTCCCCCTCCTCCTCCTCCTTCTTCTCCTCCTCCTTGTTGGCCAATGTCAATACATTCGAGCCGCCTGCGCAGAGGTAGGTCTGCCTTGCGCCAGCATCATACTTTGATCTGCCGGCCCCCCGCGAGTGTGCAAGGAACCTCGGGGCAAGAGGAGGAGGAGGAGGAAGAGAAGAGGGGAGGACAAGGGGCTTGGACATACCTTTGCTCATCTGCCCCTGACCCCTTCTCTCACCTGCTTCCCTGCTCCGATCCATCCCCCCTACACCAGTGAGGGGATAGAGAAGCAGGGGAGAGGCAAGCAGCGGGAGGCAGGTGGAGAGGGGGCATCCTGCGGCGCGGGATCCAGCGAGGACGACGACGACGGCGACGCGGCGGCGACGGCGACGACGGCGACGACGGCGACGACGATGACGGCGGCGACGCGGCGCCCTGCGCTTCCTGGCCGCACGTCTCGCCGAGGGCGGCGCGCTGCGGTACCACTCCACCAGCTCGGGGCCGCCCTGCGGCAGCGCCTCCCGGCGGGCGTCCACGCGCGCCAGCGCCAGCGAGAGCGCCTCCTCGCCGGAGCGGCGCCAGGCGGCGCCGCTCGGCCCGCCGAGGCCGCCGTGGGCGGCCGCCGAGTCGTTGGCCCGGAGGGCCCGCTGGGCCTGCCGGCGGGGCGCCGAGACGAGACGAGACGAGACGGCGGAGACGGGACGCGTAGCCCTCGGCCGGATCCCCCCCCCCCCCCCCGCCCCGCCCTTCACGACGACGGCCGACGGCGTCGCTGCTGGGGGAGGGGGGGGGGCGGCGAAAAGAGCGCATGAGGTCTCCGACGATATGATTATTGTCAACAGGTGGCTTCCTCTCGAGTTCGGCATCGTGGGGTAACTACCCATCACAGCGTACTCCCCTTCCTCCCCCCGAAAAGAACTCAGAGCATGTCGTTATGTTTTTCAGAAGAGCCAAATCGCTTACCGCGACATTTAAGGCACTGAGGTAACGAATCGGACACCGCTACTAGAGCGACAATGCAATACAATCGTCGCCATCCACAACGTCTTTGTCCGCGCGATCGGGCTGGGACCAGCAAGCATGGATCCGGGACGCAAAACTACCACCAGGGAGGTCTGTGCATGAACCTTGGTGACCACGTTTCGCAACCCAGCCCTGGGCAACGAATTTGTTTCGGTAGCTTCTTGGGTCCTTGCCCCATTGTGCCTCCCTCCAATCACCAAATGCAAGGTCCGTCGATACAAGGTGGAGGAGGAGGACCAAAAGCAGCAGGGGGAAGGAAGGTAAGGAGGCGAGAGAAGAAGGGAGAGGAGGAGAGGGCCCAGCGTCTCAGGGGAGGGGGGGGGAACGGGAGAAGGACGACTATGAACATATGTGTAAATACACAAACGTAGATGTACATACATATCTACATACATATATAATACATGCTACATGTTGTAATCATGTGCGTACATATCCATACACATACATATATATATATATATATATATGTGTGCATACATGCATGCATACAAACGTACATACGCACAAACACACCTACATACATACATACATACATACATACATACATACATACATACATACATGCATGCATGCATGCATACATACATACATACACATACACATACATACATACATACATACATACATACATACATACATACATACATACATACATACATACATACATACATACATACATACACACATACACACATACACACATACATACATACATATATACATGCATGCATGCATGCATGCATACATACCTACATACATACATACAGCCATACAAACATACATATATACATACACACATACATATATACATACATACATGCATCCATACCTACATCCACCCATCCATCCATTCATCCATCCATACATACATACATACACATACATACGTACATACATACATATATACATACATACATACATGCATGCATACATACATACATACATACGTACGTGTATACATACGTGAATGCGATACAGACCAGCATGTGTGTATATATAGTAAAACGACGCGCGTTACGAGCGCTTAGTCAACCCCGATGCGCTCATCCGCATCCTTCGTCCACTCCCATGGCGGGAGGGGGGGGGAAGGAGGGAAGAACGGAAACAAGCAAGCAGGAAAGGCAAACAGGGAGGGAACGGGAACTGGAGCGAGGGATGGACCAGAGGATGGGTAGGGATTCCTCCTCCTCCCTTGTCTTCCGCCTCCTCATGTGTTTGTCCTCCTCCTCCTCCTCTTTCTCCTGCTCTTCCGCGTTATCGTCATCTTCGTCCTCTGCCTCCGCGCCCCTCCTCCCCTCCTCGTCGTCCTCTTCCTCTTTCGTCGACTGGCGGTGATAACTAGGTTCCTGAAAGGCTCTCCAAGAACATGATGGTTCTGAGAGCATGAAGGTGTGGGCCGTGTTGGGGGTTACCTGGGATGCCTCTGGACTCGTCTTCGGATGATCAGGTAAGGCAGGAAGGATGGAGAGCACAGCGGCGGAGTAGGGGTTACGACTCTACCTCTGTTGGGCCTCTCTGGGATCTGGGACGTCTCCTGCGCCGTCTCCGAATGGAGTTAAGCGCAGGCGCGCGACGACGGCAACATATGCGAACAAAGCCAGCGGAGAACCAATGAATTCTGCAAATTGGGGCTCTCTCAGAAACCAGTTTGAAACCCTTTTGGGGCGGGTTGAGCGCCTCTTGGGCCGTCTCGAAGCCATGGTAGGCCCTGCGGCCGCTATGGCGCCCTGTGGGCTCCCTCGAGGGCCCTCGTGGCGTGTCCACACTCACTTGGGTGGCTATCTCAGGGCCTCTTGAACTATCTGGTTGGCGTCTTCGGCCGTGTTGGCGCCCACGTGGGCTGTGTTGGGGCTGCTGTGGGCGCCTCTTGTGCCGTCTCTGGGCGTCTGGCAGCGGAGCAGGCGACAACAGGAATGGGGCAAAATATGTAAATTCAATGACGTCTGCCTATGGGGTATGTCTACATATGTTATAAACATGTACACACATGCTTTCAGATGTTTCTATATGTATGTATGTATACACACGTCTGTCGCTGCACTTATACAGGTGTCAACCAAGTGGTGCAGTCATACATACATGTATATACACACATATGTCAGATAGCGTGTATGTGTTTACACATCTATACATACACATATACACATGTATTTCGATGCCTGCAGACACACTTATACATATATGTATATATAATGGTCGACATGTGTATACATGTATGTTTATTTGCCTACCGATCTATCCGTCTACCAGTATACACATACATGTATATCTATAGTGTATATATAAGACTGCATTGGCGCTTCACGCCATGCACCTTGGTCCTTGGGGCTTTGCATCTGTTGGTCGTTCGCGTCATCCCTAGTGGCCTTGGAAATTTGGCCCCTTCCCTGCGGTGGTCTTCAGAAGTCTTCGGTCCCCGGCCCGTCCCTGGCCTCTGGGGGCTCCCGAAAGGCGCCTGGTGGAGGGCGAAGGATAGGAGGGAGGGAATCTCGGAGAGCGAGGGAAGGAAGCAGATGTGGGGGAGGGCGAGTGGTGGAGCGGCAAAAAGAGGAGGGCGCCGTCAGGGGACGGCGAAGAATGATGCAGCGGGTTGCAGCGGGTCGCAACGGGGCACGCGAACGCAAGTAATTCTTAGGGAATGCACCCAATCCCGGGTTCGCAACAGATTTCCAGGATTTGTGGTTGCGAGCCTGGGATTCGGGTCAATTTGGTGGAAAACGGCGTGTGGGCCTTTTTGGAGCCTTGGTGGGCCGGCCGGCTTGGGGCCGTCTCGAGCCGTATTGGGGCCATCTTGGGCCGTGTTGGGGAGCCTGGGCCCTCTAGGGACCTTACGGGGACTACGTAGGCCCTCCTGTTGGCCTCCCATGGCCTTTTGGGGGGCCTCCCATGGCCTTCTTGGGCTTCTCTTGGAAGCCTTGTTTTTCTGTTTCGCAGAAGAACTGACCGCCTCGTCGTCAGGTGCCGTATATCACCACAGCGGATCTGCGCCACAGCGTGAGACAGAGGATTGAACGTTGGCCGCCGAGCAGCAGAGTTCTCGAGCCAATGCATGGTTATACGTCGGCAAGCAGTGAAGCGATGAGGAGCCAGGGCAAGGAAAAGTAACGAGTCCCGCGAGGCAAAGCCTGAGGCCTAAACTAAACTGCGTGGGCCACACAACCAGCCTGAGAAGGAGTAGAAGGGAGGAGAGGAGCAGGAGGAGGAGGAGGAGGACGAGGAGGAGGAGGAGGAGAAGCGCCAGCGCCCAAAGAGGGGAGGGAAAACGCGGCGAGGCAACCGCGCACTGTGCATGCACCCCCACTGACGGCACGGTCAGTGGTACCTCACACAGACACGGAGCAACGAACAGCGTAAAGGGGAGAGAGGACAGAGATAGATAGAGAGAGAGAGACAGACACAGAGAAAAAGAGAGAGAGAGAGAAAGAGAGACAGAGAGAGAGAGAGAGGAATAAAAAAAACACAGCAACAGCACAACCCTGGAAATGCAGGGCCCGTCACGCAGAAGTCAGACGTCGATGCGCGGCGGTATCGCGCCGCGCCTGAGCCCGCCTGGGCGGGCGGGCGGGAAAGCGCAGCGCGGTGGCTGGAGTGGGTCAAAGTCCGCCATGCGGACCCTCCCTCTGAGGCCTTCGGTGGAGCTGCGTATGGGGCCAAGAACCGTGCGAGGGGTGCGCCGAACTGGGTCTGAGTCCACCATGCGGACCCTCCCACAACAATTGTGTTGCAACACTTTCGTTATACATATATATATATATATATATATATATACGTTCTCCGGTAGGAATGGGATATATATAGAGAGAGAGATATAGATATATACACACACACCTGGAGGGGGGACGGTGACAGGTCGGGGCGGCTCAAACAATGAGACTTCATCTATGAATTCTCATTCCGATTTGTTGGGGGCACCTCCAGCTGCACTCGACCGGACGCTCCTGAGGTGCAACTCGATCTGGTCACCGCTCCTACTGCTTCTGGCATGAGTTGCGCGAAAGAGCTTTGGTCTGCTTCTCGAACGAATCCTTCCAGTCCATCCTGACAATCTGGTGGTCTAGCTCGCAGATCTGCTTGACATGTATAGTATCATTATCTGACAAATTTGGGCGGAGGTGCACGATGCGGGCTCCAAGCGCAGCTCGGAAATTGGCATCCATTTTGAGTGCGTATTTCTTCATCAGCTCCATGTCCAAACACTTCTTCGGCATGGTGCGGTGCTTGACCATCGTATCAACCTTGTATGTGAGCTCGTGCCTCGGAGGCGCCTCCAATTTGCAGTGGTGGTGCTCACGCATGGATTCCCCGAGTAAGTTCCACATTTGGCAATGCACAGTCTGGTCGGAAGTCAATCCTGGCCCGAGGTGGACTTGTTCGAGCGGCTCCTCCAAGGTCGGTAAACCAACGGCAGACAGCAGCATATTCACAATGTCGCCGTCGTTCTGTGCCCCCAGAAAATCTAATGCGAAAACGCTGTCACGGCCAAATGCTTGAATCTATTTGCTGGTGACATGCCCACACCAATCTGTGCATTTTTTCCTGATCGGGTACGCTTCTCCCAGTGCTCGGCGAACGATGCGCCGATTGCGGGGGGGTTGTGTTGGGCGAGGTGCTGCTTGTACTGAGACTAGATCCGACTGGGGAATGGTCGGTGAGTGAGCATCACCTTGTTAAACTTCGGAAATAAAGATTTCAGCCACGATGATAGCTTTGGACCCATGAGAGAAAGCGCCTTGGAGCTGACGATCACATGCTGGCCTTTAGCCACTGCCTCGCTGAGCTTATCCTTGAAGGCTGTCATTGCAGTATCGTCTGGATTTGGACGCGCAAGGAAATGATGCGTTGGTTCTTGACGTCTCTCCACCGGCGGCACGTAGTACATCATACTAATTCCGAGGAGTTTGTCCCAGTACGCCTACAGGACCCTTTGGACGTACGTCGCCCCCGTCTTGGGCGGCCCGATGTGGATCAGACAGAACGGTCGGCCTTTTTCAGGGGTCCCGCTGTGCGCCTGGTGACCGATGGACTGGTAAACGCCTGGTCTGGGTCCCAGACCAGGGCTCGGGACTGCGGATGAACTGTTGGACTCAGTCCAGGACTCACCCTCAGAACGCCAACTGCACGGCTCTCAGCATCCTCGCCAGGCTCGCTGTTCTCTGCGGACCCCAGAGACTCCTCCGCTTCAATCTCCTGAAGGGTACTTTCTGATGACGTCGACTGCTCTGATTCCGCAGGTGGCTTCCCCAACTCGCCCAGGCCCCATCCCCCGCAGCCTCGCAGGGCATCCGCCAGCGGCCAAGAAAGTGCAACCATGGTCACGTCACGATAATGATACAAAGCGTGGGAAATTCGAAAAACAATCCAAGTCTTCTTGGCAGAGTCAGGAGAGTCTTCGACATGCTGGTCAGATTCGCGCCCGCCTGCTGTCAGCAGGTCTAATTATTGCGCCTTCTCACCTGAAGGAAGCGAGGCTTCCTTGCGCCAGAACGGCTTGAGCTAAAATGGCTACGGACTTCTCTTGGAGGCCTTGTGAAGCCCTGTTGTGCCCCTTGGTCCCATGGAGCCCTCGGGGGTCCCCACTCTGTCTCCCTCTTCGGCTCCGCTCGCGACCTCCGTAGCCTTTGGCTTAGAGATGTGCTCTCACCGTGCGCCGTGTCACTGTATCAAAGATCCCCCTCTCGCCAACCTCCTCCGAGTATGCCGCCCGACATTGCGACTGTGGTAGCGGAGCGTTACATGGTGGAGAGTCGAGGGGCCAGGCAACAGACACGGCCACGGGCGCAGAGCAACAACCAGCAGAGCAGCAAGCACCATCGACAGAATGGTCCCAGGAGGAATGGCAGCACGGCTGGTGGCATCAGTCACGGTGGCTCTCAGGACCTTGGTATGGTGTCGGCAACATGTGAAACGGCTCAGAACAGTATGTGAATGACTGAAGTGGATACGCATGGGCCGTCTCGGGGAGACCTCAGCATAATCGAGACTACGGTCCGCCTCCGACCTGGCTTGGATTCGAAAACCTGGAACTGCATCGCATGAATCTTCATTCGTGGGCCTCGGGAGCGGGTTATCTCCCGTCTGTGAGAGCAGGAAAGATACTCGAGTCTCTGCCAGTAGACATTCACTTGAAATTCCGATGAATGAGGAGACGACTAGAGAACGACGAGGGTGTGACTACGACTATGGAACACCTAAGAATCCTCAACGGAGAACGACCAAGAGATAAGAAACGGGAAGCTGAGGGGGGCCGCTCTGTTCGACTACGTTTTGCGCAGAGGAGAGTCGCTGCGCAGAGACACGCAGGTGGCAAACGCAGAGGTACATGGTCTGCTCCTCCCAGACTCCGTGCTCTCCCGGTTCCTGGAAGGCGCGAAACTGAACCCGCAAAACCGCATCAACTTAAGAGACTTGGCCGGGGGACAGGCTGACTTCAAACCGATCCGAGACGCGATGCTCCAATTGGACATACGAGAGCGGGAAGTTCCGCTTTCAGCAACCTCCGCGAACCAGGCTCCCAATACATTCGTAGCGGACGCAGAGGAGAGAACCATATCGTCACCTACAAAGCAGCAGTCGCAGTCGTCGTCAGGCGCATGACAGTGGATAGATGTGGAAACATGCTTTGCGGACCCTCCCGACGACTCCTTCGAGCTATTAGAAGATGAGGCTGACGTTTTCCTGTCCGCCGGGGAACGACAAGGACTACCAGAGGACGAACCAATGACGGTGCTGGCAGCAGTGAAAAAGCAGAAATAGGACAGGAGAAACGACGTACATGGGCCGAGGCGAGGAAGATGAATGCAGACAAGCGCATCGAGAGAGACTTCTTTGATAAACAGCATGCTTCCCACGCTGGCTATAAGAGAACTGCTTCGGACGACCTCAAGCGTCGCTCAAGGTGTGCCAACTGTGGCGACATGGGCCAGTGGGCCGAGAACTGTCGCAAGCCATTCAGATCCAAAAAAGAGCGTGCTGCAGCAGAGAAGCGGACATCAGCCTCGGGACAAAAGGAGACGGGGTCTTGTTTTTGCCTCGGACAATGCAGAACCCTCACTTGTTCGAGGGCAAAGAGTTTGCAGACCTGATCTTTTGGACGTCGAGCGGTATCGAGTGGACGGGCATCAGGAAGTCAGAAGACATGATTCTGCTCTTTCGCTGAGATTCATGACGGACCATGCGCTACTGGACACAGCGGCAGGCAGGGAAAGCGTTGATCGGCAGAGAAGATCTATACATTCTCATCGATTCCTTTGCCAAGAAAGGGTATCATGTGCACTTCGAGCTCGGGGGAGTTCACAATCAGACGGCCAATGGAAGTGGGGGCCGCACTGAACCCATAGGCCGAACATTGGTGCCAGTGTCTCTCGCTGGGTACGGGTTCGTGGAGTTTCTGATTCTGGAGCAGCGCTCTTGGAACTTCGTCATGTCTTGATCGAAGCCCGCTGGAGGTTTGGTGGATATCAGGCACTGGATGATTCTTGAATGCGTTAGTCCAGTTACGTATCGAATGCTTAGGGATGTGCCTTCGGCTTTCGTAATAGTGGAAGCCTGGGCTCACGTCGTTGTCACAGCGCATCAATGTACAACTGTCAGCATACGTCACCGGCGGCAGCTTGTGAATGCTCTTGGCCAACCCGACAGAAACTACGCTTCCAATGCGAAAGAAGATCCGACTGAGGTACTGGAGAACTGTGTACCTTAGGAGACAGTCGGCCCGCACTCGTCATCTGGAGTACACCATCTTTGGTCGGGAAGTATCCGCGGGCCATGGCAGGTCGCCCCGCAGGGTAGACTGGCTGCATATGCCAACGCAGTCCGTAATGCTGCGCTGTCCGAGCCTATCTCTCGAATGATCAGAGCTTCAATGTGCTGCGGGTGTCGTGCGTCACCGTGCTGGACTTGCACACCGCGGTTCACAACTCCCATGATAATTTGACCCCTGTCGGGATCATTCCGCGCGACCGGGAAGGGTCCATTCCAGCCGCCGCAGTCGTCTTTCGTAGTGGCGGGGCGACGGTAGTCAGACAGATCTCTGTCGTCATAGCAATGCTGGCCAGTGGTGGTCGTCTTGGTCCGTGGTGCACGGCTCGTCTTAGCTATTGCAATGGTTTGAGTGATAGCTTCAATGCTTACCCGGCGGATAGTCTGTTCTCCAGTGCGATCGGATGTCTCCGTCTGCTGTTCGTGGTCTAGAGCAGGCAAGTCGGGTAACGTCGCAGGTTGTCGGCCAAACACTGCGTTGCATGGAAAAGAAAGTAAACGCACCTGCGGCAAACAGAGCCTCATGCAATAATCGGGTGAACAGGTGGCACGTCTCACCTATTGAGTTCAGCCTCCGTGAAGTGAAGTAGGTGTCGTGATATGTCATTTCTGACTTCCATAGTCGTAGCGCGTTGTCCACGCGCACGCATCCTCAGCGCGGCGCCCTCTGCCTTAAGGGCCGCCTTTGCGGCGCCGTCATTGAGAGCACCTTCTCCGTCATAGTACAGTACTTCGGCGGGTCCCAATTGCATCCAGCACTGGTGATGCCCATCTAAGATGCTAGGCATAGTTTCATAGCATGTCTCAACTCCAGCACCGTATCGAATGCAACGGCCAATCATGCGGAACACCCTATGCTCTTGTTTGTAGAACACCAGGTCGCATTCGCCTTCGTCATTTAACTTGCCAGGTAGCGCGGTAGACGACATGATAATATGTCCAGGCTTTTCCCAAGCCCTGCGCTCCAGGCATGTGTCTCAGACGCCTTTCTATCAAGTTTAGCCTAACGCTGTCCAGACCAGCCTTGGTTATAAGATGACGGCTCCTTGGCGTGAAGCCGCCGCAGATGTAGTTGTCGTAGCTCGCGTGATACCGCGCTTGGGTCAAGGCCACGCAAGTTCTGTAGACTGATTTGCACGTCGAACCTTAACCAGTCTGGAAGCCTGGGGCGAGAAGCAGTGTCACCCGCAGGTGGTGGTGGTGGATCACCTGCCTGTTGCCGCCCACGTCTGGCTACTACTTGAGTTAGTCGTCTGTGGTCGTCCGAGCTGCCGGCGCCACTTGAGGCGGGTTGCCCCGCAATCGGGCAACATGTCTGCCTACTGCGACGTCGCGGCTGCTGGCGCCCGCTGTCGGCCCAGCTCTGGGGCCGGGCTTCGGAGCTCGCAGCCGCGCAATTTGTTTGGCGGCTGGTGCCTCGGAAGCAGCTGTCGCCGCAGGTGGTGGTGCGTCGGAAGCAGCTGCCGCCGCAGGTGGTGGGGCTGTCGGTTCGGCAGGGGCTGGGGGTCCCTGTCCGCGGTTGTCAGGCAGCTTCCACAGCTTGGCATACTTACATTTGCAAGGTGTAAGTAAATAGCCAGGCTTAGCCTTACCATAGTTCCTTTTGCAATTTGGACATTCCCAGTCGTAGTCCTCCTTGTCGTACCACCTACAGTGTTCGGGGTCTCTATCGTGCGATGGGGGGCGCAAGTTAACGTTGTCAGCAGATGGAGGACACCCATCCCCCTGATGGCGGTCGCATAATACATCCGTCTGGATGTCGAAGGGTAATTGGATCACCAAATTCGAATTCACGTGTGTTCGTGACACGAACAAATGGCGCATGAGCATGGACATGATCAGGATCACGATTAACTGCGAACATGTCGAGTGCAAGCTCAACTGCTTCAACGAAGAAGGATTGCATCTTCGGAGTGTACTGGGCTGCCCTGGCACATTCCCTGTTGCAAACCGAGGCATGTTGGCGATGGCCCGCGCACCGCTTGTCCTCGAAGGGTGTTAGTAAGAAGCGGTGGTTGGCCATTATCGCCATAGGTTTTCGTATTAATTCACCATGGGGCTCACGAGGGCCCGCGGTGCATTGGTCCACGCTGACCTTGCGAGTGCCCTCGCACTTGGCTAGTGTCGTCCGTGGTGGCATTTCACCTACCCAAGTACCCACTGGTTGTTCTCGTAGGTAGAAGCGCCGAAGATCGTCTTGACGCACGGCGACCCTTCCGCAAAACTTGATGCGCGGGAGGTTTTCCTTGTGATGTTCATACCGCGTGTCCTAATTGACCTTTGCTTTGAAGTAGGAAGGTAGTCAACTTGTTCTGCAGCTTGGTTGTAATAAACCAGTATCCACAAACCGTACATCCAAATAATGCATTACTGCGTCCTGATCTTCCTTGTTGTCATGGTCAACGTAAGAACGCTTGTCGAAGTTCCCCCCTGAGGATCAGACTCGGCTGAACGCTAATTGTGAATATTCCCCCGTTGCCTCCACGCAGTTCCAGCGCGTCCACCTTGTCGCTTCGTCCGCAGCACAAGGTTGGGATTAGGGAAGTCACATCAGTATGTGTGTCCGCAGGTAGCCCCGCTGGTAGCGTAATGAAAGTCTCCTCATCTTCATCATTGTCGGAGTCAAGGGGGGCGTCAGTGTACTATGCTCCACATCCAAGGCCCTTCGGGTCCTCGCCGCAGTCGTCGCTGCCATCTTCGACCTTCGTTGGTGTCTTGCCTGGTTTGATGCTGGCTTCTTTGTGAGCTTTCTGCTTTTCTTTC